ATCTTTGTAAATGTTTTGATGGTAGAATGGAAAAATATTAACACCACCAAACTGCAATCCCAGGGTTTAGAATTTTACATATTGCATCTCGCTCTACTGCAATACCCATCTGGGCTTTTAATGCCTATTTAAGCCTGCCAGACTGAAGAAAGCAGCTGTGTTTAAGAATCAGAGAGGTATAGCAAGTGAACTGGAAAAGTGTCAGAATGATGTAGTTTAAACAGAATGTTTCCCTGCCTCCCTTTCTTTTTTGGGGGGGCTGTTATTCATCTCCTCTGAAGGAAAAGCGAGGTATGAAATTATGGCTTTGAAAAACAGTTACACCTCTGGCAATATTGATCAATTATATATATATAGACACACACAAAAAACAAAAAAAAATCTCATATAGATTGGTTCTGAACATGTTTTGTTATACCTGAGGGACATACGTTTTTTTTTTTTTTTTGGAAACTCTTACCGGCCCTGTAATGGATGGCCTGGTGTCCAGGCCCGGGGAAATAACAGAGATCTCTGGTAGACGTGGTCTGGCCAAACCTCCGTGCTCTGCTGCTGTAGATTCAAACACAGCCATTTCTTCCTCCTCATCAGAGGGGCATCCACACGGAGATGACAAAGACAGCGCCATGCCCGTCTATCTGTTCCAAGGATAACACGTTTTCATTAGTATGTAGTAATTCTATTAAAAGGGGATTACAAAATGTTTCAAACATGGGCTTGACTTAGGGCGTGTGCACAAGTCACTTTGAAAGGATAATATAGGCTTGTGTTGGAAAAAAACAGCAATATACAACATAAAAGATGAAAAACTAAACACACTCACACAAGTGTCTGTGTTGTTTGTAATAATGATGTAATGATGTTATTCTCTGCTCAAGCATTTCATTGCTATGAATTAGTTAAACATGGGTGTGTCGTCATCAAACAAGCTGACAGGTAAAGGAACACTAGTTTACTGTTTAAAGCCAAATTGAACCTGCTTAAGTAGTCAAACAAGAAATATTTCCCAGGCTTTCACCAGACCAGGCAAGTTTGGCATTAGTGCTGATCAATACAACTGCTCTACAGCAGGTCCTGTCATGCTTAGTCTTTGTAGCTATTACGATGAGCGAGTTTAGAAGTCTCGGTTTTTCAATTTCATTCCCTTTTTTTAATCCAAATGGTATTTCGTGTTACACTGAGCAGCATTTAAAAAGTATCAAATCCACGTTTAGCATTCAAAAAAAAAAAAAACCTGCTTTCACTGCTTGTTACAGCAAGAAGACTTTGTGCTTTCAAAAGGTGTCTCAGCACTGAGTGCAACTAAAATAAAAACCTCAGTGCTGAACCTTTACATGTGCAAGTAGCCATGTTTAGCCTCCAGTAAGCACGTAGTAAACGGAGCCTATATTGCAGTGAATTAAACAGAGTCACTTTAATGTTTATACTAGCTAACATACATTTAATAACAATGATTTCTACTACAAGTACCAATATATGCTAACAAAGAGACTTGCTTCCTGGTTTTAAATGGGAAAATCGTGCAGTCACTCAAAACCAAAAACAAGCACACAAAAAACGTAGATATTGCATTTAGCTTAACACACACTTACATAACTCCGTCAAACAGTTATAGTTACAATCTAATATTATTTTTTGTAACTATTACGTTATCTTGTTTAACGTCGTATTGCCCACGTTTAAGTAAAACTCACTTTAACTTTCCTGGAATGTCCAAAATGTGCCTGGTTTCCTGTAAGCTTGTTAGCTTAATGTTTACGATAGATCGCCAAAAGCCAACGTTGAGGTAAAACTGTCTAAGTTCAACAAACCCTCCTCGTCTCGAGCTCTTAGCACCAGCTGAGCCGCTTTACCCGATTGCTTTTTGGGTTTTTGAACAATGCGCTTCCCCACAGGGAGAGTCGCCGATTGGTTAAAGTGTATCGCCGCCTTCCCTTTGATTGGTTAACAGGGCCTCGCATGGCGCATGGGCTTTGGAATATGACGTCGTGAGAGGGGGTGCGGCCAGGATTTTTGGTCGAGGTGCCATTTTAGTAGGCCAAACAAAGCGAGCGAAAGCACACGAATAATATCCGCTATGGTTCGTACTTGCTGTGTGATGGGTTGTAACGTTAGATCGCACGACCGGCAAGGGAATAAGCTTGAAAATGGGCTGTCTTTTCATTGTTTCCCCACCTGGAAGCAAAACCAGGGAGCTCATGTGTCGGATGTTACCAAAAGAAGGCGTATAGCCTGGATAGCAGCTGTGAGACGAGCTGATATCCAGTTCTCTACCATCCCCAGATATCTGTTGGTGTGTTCCAGACATTTTCATTCGGGTAAGTTCTAAATAAGTTCATATTACTCTGTATAGCCTATTAGTTTTATTTCGCTCTGAAGTCATAGCAAATTAGAACAAATATCTCAATGTGTGATTTTGCAGGACTGCGTTCTATTTATAGAGTTGCTAATTACTTAGCATAATTGCAGGCAAACCAGCCTATGAAATGGATGAAACAAATCCTGACTGGGTTCCAACGCTATACATGGGGCACTCCGAAATCCCTGCTTCAAACTTGGACCGTCACAGACGACGAATGCGACGGAAGCAGCAAAAAGCAGCAGTCGGAGGTAAATACAACTCCCACCACCACCAACATCAAAAAATGCTCTCACTGTCCGGTAATCAGCTCATAGCTTTTTGATGAGTCATGCACTTTTAATTGGGCTTCTGGTGAACATTTGCCTTATATGTATGCACTCATTGTATCTGACAGGCTTTAGTAATGGAGGAGCAGAGTCCGAAGGTGAGGCCTGCATAGAAGTTACATGAAGAGCTGCCAGAGATGGACATGACAGAAGACCGACACCTTAATCACCACGTGATGGAGGCTGTGGCCAAGAGTGGAGGCTGAGGTAGTAGCAACAAATGTAGAAAATGGAGATGGGACAGAGAGAGATGCAGAAGCTAAAAGACAGCCGATGGATTGTGTGTGCTGTGAACAGAGCAGAAATAAACCAGCTGTTGGAGGAGAACAGAACGCTTGAATCACAGTTGAAAAAGACAGCTGAATGAAAAATGTTTTAAAGGATGACACCAAAAAAGTAAAATATAAGATAAGATAACCTTTATTAGTCCCACACGTGGGAAATATTATACTGGAATACCTTGTTTTGCTATTTTACTCTCCTTATTCAACAATGTAAAAGCTTTCCTGCCAGCATCAAAGAAACCGTGGCATTTCCAAATGCTTTTACTCACTCTTCCGCCTTACATTTGATCTTCCTGTCCAGCATCTTTGTGTGCAGAGGTTAAGATCCCCGCATTTACAAAAGGCTTCTGTCAACTTGATGCCAAGGACATTGAAGATACGAGAGCTATTGCCCACCTAATAATTCATGTCGAGCGAGTTGTAGGTAGTTTACGCAACAGGTATAAAATGCTGCATACCACCATGCCAATCAGATTACTTCTTTAATGTGAGGGTGAAGAGGAGGCCCTTCAGGATAAGATAGTGAAGGTTTGCTGCGTTTTGGTAAACATGTGCCCAATTGTGGTAGTAAAACCAAGGGGAAATGAAACTTGCTCTTAAGTACTATTAAAAGTCTTGTGCTGTGTATATGTAGTTATAATTTTTCAAAAGATACAGTAAATTTACAGAATGTTAGTGAGTGTTATTATGTAAATGCTGTCAATATTTTATGTAAAAAAATTTGTCAGTTGTAAACCATAAATGACATTGATTCTACATTGTAACTGATTTGATGTTCTATAAAGTGGTTTTAATAACAGGCAAAAATTTGTTTGTTTCTTTATTCAACTTTTAAACAGTGGTACTTAGTAAGTACATATTCAGTAAATGAAAATTATTTGCATGGCAATGCACTTCAGGCATCAATCTAGACCCCCTAAATAAAAAGTTATGGGGCATTCAGAACAGAACTATGCTGGCAGAAATATTTTCCCACCAGTTCTGGAAGGGACACTTTTTTTTTTTTTTTTTTTTTTTATTAAACTCTTGTGCTCTCTTCAAACGTGGTTCCCAGAAATCTACATCAGGGAAGATGTGTACCACAGCCATGTCTCTTTGAGTCCATGCAACAAGGTCACAGTGGTTGGAGCTGGTGACAAAGTGTTTGCACCTGTAAGTAGTAGGGGTGCGCCCTCTTTAAGTGAAGTCCATTTGCAGCTGACTCCAGGCAGAAGTCTTTATCCTGTGCATCCAATGCCTGCTTAATGCTGTCCGTTGTGTATTTAAAGGGACACTTAATCTCCAGGCACCCCTCCCCACAACAGTCACACATTGTGAGATGCTCCAAGTTCAGGAAAAATTGTGTTCACAATAAAACCGCATAAACAAACCTGCAGTTTGTAGTGATGTGCTGCAATTTTTTGGGTGTAGGCCTTTCATGCATCCTCTTCATGCTCCACTCCCCATCTTGTTTGTGTAACAGACAGTTTTCAGGGTAGCTCACACAATTAACAACACTTTGGGCTGGTGTTTCCAAACTTGTGGCAAATACAGCGTGCATCACAGAAGCTGTGATTCTTCCTGCACACCATCGAAACCAACTTCTTGTGCTGAAGTCTTGTGTGTCCTTCAGTAGCTTCTGCCTGCTCTTCAGTCACTGTTGCAGCATTTAGACACTTTACACAGTGCAGCTGTAGAACTGTAAGGCCAAGGAACTGTGTGCCTTTGTTGTGTAAAAATGCCAGAGACTGGGGTAATGTAGGTGAATATACAGTGTATTTAGTGTGATATTTCTCAGTTCCTGACAAACCCACAGCTTTACTGTGTTCCAGCAGTGTATCCAATAGCAGTGACAACTCCTCCAGAGTAGCAGGTGGAATTTTTCTTTTTTGAGGACGGCTTCTTTTGCCTTTCACTACAGACGGCCTGTTTATGTTTTTATCGAGAGCATTTTTTAAAAACGGTGCCTGCTTAAACAAAGCACACATTTCATTGGTTCCTCTCATATCACGTGCTGTGAGTAAATGTGGCATTTGATCATAGCGTGGAGGCAGCATGGCTGTGTATGGGCATGTTTACAAAGGTTGTCATAGGGAAGGTATGTAAGAAAGAAAAAACTGAAAATAGGGAGACAGGAGTCAAAGTGCAGAGTATCTCATTCAAAACTTATAATGCCTTTTTAATTTCATGCATATCAAATGTTTACGGCAATAGAAAATTATTACTTTAAAGTCCATTTAATAACACAGTATTGGCTATATTGGCAGTTAAGTACAAGGCAAACAAACTAAACCCATGCCATTACAATGTATTCTGTACAGAAAAATAAAATAGTTGAATTGCATTTAAACATGAAGGAATCGTGAGTAATATGACTCTGTCACATAAAAGAAATGGGCATCGTGAGTACAATTCCTTTTGAACAACTGTGACAGGATGATCACAAAATCCCCCTTCAGGGCTCAGCATAGGGGATCATCTGCCTCCATCTCACCCTGTCCCTAGCATACATTTCTGTCCTCCTATTTCACTACATGAACCTTCCATGAACCCTCTCTGTGGTCTTCCTATTTTCCTCCTCCCTGGAAGTTCCATCTTCAACATCTTTTGTCCAGTGTATCCACCATCCCTCTTCTGCACATGTCCAGGCCATCTTGGCTCTCTGACTTTGTGTCCAAATGGCTCAACCTGAGCTGTCCTTCTGTCCATTCTGGTCGCTTCTACTAAAAACATTGTCATCTTAAACTCTGTTGTTCACAAAATCCAAATTTCTTTAGATTTTCTACCATTTAATATATAAGCTAAATGTTTAAGGGGTTTTTTTTGTTATATAATACTAATAACTATGTGATTATACTTGAAATACTTGCTGAATCCTTCCTCATTCTTTCCTTTAATTAATACTTATAAGAAACAGTAATATAAAAGCAGAGTATTGCATAAAGCCTTGCATTGCTGGATGCTGCCAAATAAAAGTTTGTGAATTCCTGAGACAATCACCATTGTGAGATTTATGCAAATCAGGTATTCTTTTTAAAATTTATGTCATTAAATACACTATGTATTTATCCAGTTACGTCTTGTCCGGGTTTCGTGCTTTGCTCCATAGCAGCAGCGATGCTGTGAATACTGACTCGATCGTGTGAATTTTCAAGCCTTTGTTTCTGCACACTGTGGCGAACACCATAACAAAAGTAGATGATCAAACCTGTTCAAAATTTTAAAAGAAACGTAGCCGTCACACATATAAAAAGAGATATTTTTGCACATGTATAATCTTTTTTATGTATTCTGTAGCAGAAATGTGCTGCACATACCTACTCCCATCCACACTGTATAGCGGATCCAAGTGTCTGATCCAAGCTGAGCCATTAGATGGACATTGACAAAGGTACTAAAAATAGGAAGTAATGGGACAAAAGGAACCTGGGGATATAAAAGAGGAGAAGCATTGTTAAAAGATATTAAAGGAAAAAAAAAACCCCAAACCCCCCAAAATTCAGAATTTTAGAGCTTAAAAAATAAATAAACATGTAATGATAATACAGGTTGGCTAAATTTCTGTTTCTATTTCTATGCGTTCATTAATCAGTCTTCACTGTCTTTCTTTCATACCATGAAAGCAGCTTCTGCTGTATTCTGCGGTTGCCTCCAGACGATGAGGATGATTAGAAAAATCATTGCTACTATCACAGAAAGACAAAGTATGCTCCACCACTCCAGGGCTTGCAGGTAATCTACAGCCTCAGATACGAAGACGCTGAGAACAACTGCTAAAAAGACTGAGGAGAATCAATACGTTTGAGTTCTATTAATCAAAAATTAAATCAATAAAAAGTACAGTACAACAGAAAGATGATGACTCACTAATAACAAAAGTTAAAAGGGACACATTTTTTGATGTCCTTGTAGTGGCTTGGTATGGAGGACATAATATCCCTCCAATGGTAAAAGGTTCTGCTTTGCTTAGACTAGAATCATCACTGAGGTCAGTTTGATACCTGTAAAATTAAGGAAATATAATTTTAAAAAAGTGAAAACATTTAAGGTTTTTAGTTATTTCTACTTATAATATTCTCGTAAAGCACCAAATTATTATATTCCTGTTTTTTTTTCTTGTTCACATCCTGGAGTCTATTTTTAATGTCTGAACAACACACATCAAGTCAACAGCACTTCATTACATGATCTTTTGTAATTATAAGCGACTGATTAAAGTAAAGAAAACCTGATGTCTTCATAAACTCTTCAAACAAGCAAACCCTGAGTCATCCATCTGTTTAATTTCATTACGCTCATTATTGTGCATTGTTATTTCCCAATCTAGCGTACTCACACATTTTATGACAGTAATATGACCGTATCATAGTCAATATTTTGAGGTTGTTGAGCCATTTTGTGACTGACCTGTGTATCTAAACATATTATTAGGTGTACTGTAAGCATCATAGAAGGCAGTAATAATATTAATTCATTTGTATAAACAACTTAATTCCGTCTCTTATCACAGGTTCTTCGTAACCACTCATAAAAGGTAAGCTTCTTTCAATAACAAATATACAACCTCGTCTATACATATATGTCTTGAGTGACCGCTTATTTCTCTATACAGTGGCTTGCAAAAGTATTCGGCCCCCTTGAACTTTTCCACATTTTGTCACATTACAGCCACAAACATGAATCAATTTTATTGGAATTCCACGTGAAAGACCAACACAAAGTGGTGTACACGTGAGAAGTGGAACGAAAATCATACATGATTCCAAACATTTTTTACAAATAAATAACTGCAAAGTGGGGTGTGCGTAATTATTCAGCCCCCTGAGTCAATACTTTGTAGAACCACCTTTTGCTGCAATTACAGCTGCCAGTCTTTTAGGGTCTGTCTCTACCAGCTTTGCACATCTAGAGACTGAAATCTTTGCCCATTCTTCTTTGCAAAACAGCTCCAGCTCAGTCAGATTAGATGGACAGCGTTTGTGAACAGCAGTTTTCAGATCTTGCCACAGATTGGATTTAGATCTGGACTTTGACTGGGCCATTCTAACACATGGATATGTTTTGTTTTAAACCATTCCATTGTTGCCCTGGCTTTATGTTTAGGGTCGTTGTCCTGCTGGAAGGTGAACCTCCGCCCCAGTCTCAAGTCTTTTGCAGACTCCAAGAGGTTTTCTTCCAAGATTGCCCTGTATTTGGCTCCATCCATCTTCCCATCAACTCTGACCAGCTTCCCTGTCCCTGCTGAAGAGAAGCACCCCCAGAGCATGATGCTGCCACCACCATATTTGACAGTGGGGATGGTGTGTTCAGAGTGATGTGCAGTGTTAGTTTTCCGCCACACATAGCGTTTTGCATTTTGGCCAAAAAGTTCCATTTTGGTCTCATCTGACCAGAGCACCTTCTTCCACATGTTTGCTGTGTCCCCCACATGGCTTGTGGCAAACTGCAAACGGGACTTCTTATGGTTTTCTGTTAACAATGGCTTTCTTCTTGCCACTCTTCCATAAAGGCCAACTTTGTGCAGTGCACGACTAATAGTTGTCCTATGGACAGATTCCCCCACCTGAGCTGTAGATCTCTGCAGCTCGTCCAGAGTCACCATGGGCCTCTTGGCTGCATTTCTGATCAGCGCTCTCCTTGTTCGGCCTGTGAGTTTAGGTGGACGGCCTTGTCTTGGTAGGTTTACAGTTGTGCCATACTCCTTCCATTTCTGAATGATCGCTTGAACAGTGCTCCGTGGGATGTTCAAGGCTTGGGAAATCTTTTTGTAGCCTAAGCCTGCTTTAAATTTCTCAATAACTTTATCCCTGACCTGTCTGGTGTGTTCTTTGGACTTCATGGTGTTGTTGCTCCCAATATTCTCTTAGACAACCTCTGAGGCCGTCACAGAGCAGCTGTATTTGTACTGACATTAGATTACACACAGGTGCACTCTATTTAGTCATTAGCACTCATCAGGCAATGTCTATGGGCAACTGACTGCACTCAGACCAAAGGGGGCTGAATAATTACGCACACCCCACTTTGCAGTTATTTATTTGTAAAAAATGTTTGGAATCATGTATGATTTTCGTTCCACTTCTCACGTGTACACCACTTTGTGTTGGTCTTTCACGTGGAATTCCAATAAAATTGATTCATGTTTGTGGCTGTAATGTGACAAAATGTGGAAAAGTTCAAGGGGGCCGAATACTTTTGCAAGCCACTGTATTTTGTTAAGCCCTAGCAGCCTTAACTAATGAGCCACCACTGGTTGCCACTCAGTTTAGACAAGATCTCCAACAGCACTGGCTATAATGCAGCCCCACAACATGACAAGGTCTCCACCGTGTTTTAGCTGCAGACATCACTCCATAAGACCTGTTGTCACTGGTTTTTAGTCTAGCTCTTGTCTTGTGTTGAGGTATTTGGCAAAGCTCAGCATTTACTCCTTGCTCCCTTCATTAGAATCACTTTTGAAGGGGAGCCATCATTCCAGTGAGATCATCCAGTGGCTGGAACAACTGAGGGGACAGATGAATCTCTCAAATCCTGTGTTGGCTCTTTGTATATTTTTCTATGTCTTAAGGACATGACTTTCAGATACTGTTCATTAGCTAATATTTCAAGCCATGTCTTCTTTTGTCCTCCACATTTCCAGTTTCTTCACTTATTAAAGACTGGACGCCATGCCAAGATTGTGGTGTAGTGTTGTGTTTGGCATGCTGAACCTTTATGCAGGATTCAGAGGCAGAACTGGACTCAAAAAGACTTACAGGAAAGCCACAAACTAGAAAACCTGGAAACTCAGAATGGAATTAATAATCAACTAGGCGAACAAAACACGAGGGAGACAAAGCATGATGGTGGCTGGTACAAGGAACTAAAGAAACTGAGGTCTTAAATATACACTTGAGGCAAACAGGGAGATGAAACACGTAAGTGAACACAGCTGAACTAAATCAGGGAAACAAGACAGAGCAAAACTGACACAGGAGGTGAGACTATCAAAATAAGAGAGGAAGCATAAACACAGGGACGGAAACACAGACTCAAGACATACAACCCAAGACAAGGAAAGGGTAAACAAACACAGAGGCATGACTGAGACAAGGGAGAGAGAGCAAGCACGGGACAGAAAGAGAGAGAGAGAGAGCGAGAGAGAGAGAGAGAGAGAGAGAGAGAATGGACACGAGGGGTGACTAACATAACAAGAAATCAAGAACTATAACCAAACTCAGAAGCACAAGAGAACAATACACTCATTAGCCATATATACATAAATCATCTTATACTTCTCCAAAGAAATAACTAACAAGTCCAAGCAAACTGTAATACTGGGTCAAAGACAAAGATGTGCCAATTTCTGGCTAATAGCTCTTTGTGTTATCTTTGGCATTAACTGGAAAAAAAAATAGCAACCAATGGTGTTGGGGGGGGGGGGGTGTCTGACAGGCTGCTAGGAACAAAGTGCGTCAAGATACAGTTTTAAACTGATGCTTTGTCTGTTAGACATATTACCATTTCATCCTTTCAGTTAGAAACCCTTTTATATTTGAAGGATTCATAGGTTAGTGATTGAACAAACAAAAAACATTCCTCTGAAAATGGTCAGGTACAAGGACTGAACTAAAACTGAGTGAAAACAGCCAGTGTGCAAAGAAAAACTTTGAAAGACCTTCAGAAAGCTGGACAACTAATGGTGAAGAACACTTTTAAAAAACGCAAGAAAGTCTTGTTTGTTAGGTGCAAAACATACTAATAATAAGCAGTAATAAGTGCAGTGCCAACATGCATACTTGTGATCATCTGTACCTTAATATGAGAATGCAAATGGCAACAAGTGTGTAGGCAAACAGGGTTCCAATCGACATCATGTCAACCAACGACTTCAGGTCAAACAATAAAGCCATGATAGCTGCAAAGAAGTAGGAGAAATTAAATATGTTTATAAATTCTGCAACCATTTTATCAGTGTAGTAGCTGATGGCCTTAACAAAATCAAATAATTAAAAAATGCAATTTAAAAAATTATATTATAATCTCTTCTAAAGTTAGTTATACCTGCTACAACCCCTGAAGCCAGTGTAGCAATGACAGGACTTTGTCTGTCACTCATGTTACTGAGAGGTCTGAAGAGCAGTCCATCCCGGGCCATGGCAAAGAGAACACGAGGCATCGGGAACATTGATCCTAGAAGGCTTCGGAAAAAAGCTCATAGCTCATTAACAGCAATTCAGTTATTCTCGTGTCCCTGTTTTAATTCCTAGTAATGATCCCAGTGATTTTATTTGGTGTATGTGCAATAAATGTCACCAAAGGGGTATTGTAATGTATAAAGAATTGTAGGTTTGTTTATACGTGATACTTCATGCATTATACCTTGTTGAGAGCGCACAGAGTGATCCCACAGCAACTGCATACTTTGCAGGGCCCCAACCGATGTATGTAAAGGCCACAGGCAGTGGGCTGTGAACGCTGAGCAAATAGTATGGCATCAAAAGAGTCAGGGTGGCAGACACACCAAAATAAGCCAAGAAGCAGATAAGGAGGGACGCCACAATCCCGAGTGGGATTGACTTCTGAGGGTTCTGAACCTCCTCTCCTAAAGAAAAACACAAAATTATCCCAGTGTAGTTTATGCCATCATTTAATCTTTAGATGCTTTTTTATGACATAGAACCATGTCTATAAAATAAACTTGTAAAATTTTGTAAAATAACAAAATGTATATGCTGTAGAGAATATTCTAGTCCAAAGATCTCTGTGTTTTTCTGGACAATTGAAATTGCCACAAACATCTTCTGGTGTCATTGTGATCAAATTTTCACTTTCCTTATGCAGTGCATTATAATTACTGGCTTTGCACTTAAATTCTAAAAGTTACCTGTTGTTGCAATGCAGTCAAATCCAACAAATGCATAAAAGCAAGTGGCTGCTCCTGCTAATGTCCCCTCAAAACCAAAAGGGAAAAATCCTCCGCTGCCATATGTGGTGGTTTTATTCAGGGTCGTATAGTTCCTATAAACAGTGATCAACAGTCAAGCAGCTAAAAAAAAGAAAGAAAAATACAGCAGAAGCCAAAATAACGGGGGCAGGTGGAGGCCATACTCGGATTGGTTTGGAAGGGTGTCTTCATATCTGTACCAGTTGTTGATGTCCCCCTTTATGAATCCAGAGAGGATAACAAAGAGCAACACCAGGATGTTAACGGCTGTAAAAACTTTATTTACAGTGGCCGATTCTTTAACACCAAATGCAAGAATCCCTAGAAAGAAAAATATATAAGAATTAATTTCACCATGTCAATGAACCTAGTGGAAACTCATTTGTCAAATATTTACTTTAGTCAAAAATATGTAGGACACTTTAACCTCTTGTGTTTGTTTTTTTTTTTTTTTTTTTAATCATTTTTTAAACTTACAATAAACTAAGAGTACCTGTATTATGTTAATAAATAATTAGGTTTTTAGTATATGAAACTTACCTGCCAAGAGCATAATGATACCTGCTGCAAAGAAGTCTGGATAGGGAGCCAATCCAGGTAAATCCATTGCAACCTGTTTGCCTAAAGAGTTGGCAATGACATTTCCAATGAGATCATCAAAGGTCCCACTCCAGGCTCTGGCTACACTTGATGTCCCTTAACAACAGAAGCCATTAGCAAACAATACCCAGTGTTACTTAAAATCACTTGACAAATATTATTTTAATCTATGATTTTTCCAGGATTAATATTCATTCAATGGCCTTATTGTTACCTATGACATAAGACAGCAGGAGGTTCCAGCCCGTGGCAAAAGCCCATATCTCACCCACAGTCACGTAGCTATAGAGATAAGCAGAGCCAGTTTTGGGAACACGAGCTCCAAATTCAGCATAACACAGTCCTGCAAAGATGGAGGCCACTGCTGCTATCAGGAAGGAGATTATGATACTAGGCCCGGCCACAGCTCTGGCCACTTCTCCTGAAAGCACATACACACCGGCCCCCAGTGTGCTGCCGACCCCAAGAGCCACCAAATCAAGGGTAGTCAGACACCGGCGAAAGTTGGACACTTCACCTTCAGGCTCCAGAGGTTTTCTACGTGAAATATTCTGCAGAAACTGCAGCACCTTTGCACCGGACATCTGTGATAATTAGGAATTATTCAGTTAATTCTGTGGGTACTAGAAGAAAATCAAAACTTGAGAACTGGCAGTGAGAAAATTGTGAATACAACCAGGACTAGATTTTAATTATTTTTATGCTGTTATCTGATCAAACAAAGTAAATTTGTTTTGTTTTACAGTTCATTTAATCCGAGTTGGTAAATGATAAATGGACTAGTTCTTACGTAGCACTGTTCTGCTCTACTTGAGCACTCAAAGCCTTTATGCATTTAATAATAATTATTATTAGTGTATAAATCACCATATGACTTCACAAATGAACAAGCTCACGTTTCATACCATCAACAGTAAGCTACAACTACACATACAGAGACTTTACTGAACAGTAGAGACTATAAGCACTAATTTTTACTTTGTTATTCATGCAATAATTTGACAAGTATATTTCATGGTCTATTTGCTGAATAAATGAGGGCACATAGTGCTTTATCATAATAAATTTATGATTTTACAGTGTTTATATAATGTACCGATGATTCACCGTGACTCAGATAAGATGTCATTACAAAATAAGCCATGCACACTAATTACACAAACTAACAAACTGAGATTACAGCTGATATATTAAAGTCACATCAATAAAAAAAGAGAGGCATTCCTACCTTTCTAGCTAAACTCTGTGTGAGTCTGTTTTGATCTGTCCCACTCCACACTACACTGTGTATGAGAATAAATTCATTCACCGTGAACTTTTCACAGCCCAACATTTTTTTACACATTATGTTACATTTCAGACTTATGTGCCATTTCTGAAAAAGAGAGGATCAGAATGATTTGTGTGAGCACTCACATATCAAGACTTTATAAAGGTGGGAGCAAGTGGGAAAAAACTTATTTTAGCTGTTTTTTGTGCGTAGATGACACTTATACTAAACATGTTTTTACATTTGAATTAAACTGAATGCTATAAAAAAAAGCTATTGAAACCTTAATGATGAATTGCTCTTACTGATTCATACATTCGGTCATAAAGACGTGCTGGTGAATTTATTAATTCACTTTATAATTTATTTTCGCTTCAAATCTAGAAACACATTTACTCATTTATTGTCATTTCTTTCAATAATATGTGAACAAATTAAGCATGCACTAATTTGCTGTAAGATTATTGGCCTCATTTAACAAATGCTACTGTTAATGGTTCTCACAGTACTTTATACGCCTGCTGATTAGCATACCAAGGTCTGCATGTAGTATGACGACCTTCCTCTAGCTATAAAGAAGTTGACTGAAACTTAGAACAGACTTATTAGACTTATTGTAACCTCTGGAGAGCTTCTGTGTGCCTGATGTCTCGTGAACACACAGTCGCCTTGGGACCCTGGTAAGTCAACACGTTGTAAAGTGAAATGGTTTTCAATGGAGACATCTCCTCAGCAACAAATTGACTTGTTCATCAGAGCGGGAATCAACTAATTGTTTGGAGAACAATTAGTTGAACATAAGGGTACAATCCATTGCTTCCAGGAGTTCATGGAATCACAATGCAGATGAAATACAATAAAAATGTAAACGTGAAAAAGGCACTTAGTTATTACATAATAAAAATAGTAATACTACTACTATTAATAATATTACACAGAATCCTGTTCCAAATCCAGTTTAAAATACCATTTTTATCAAAGCCCGCACAGAAAGGCAATCTCCACAACTCGTCTTTTTTAATCCAACAATGAGGCTGTGTACTAGGAAATACATTAATTTTCATTTGTAATAGCGTAGACAAAAGAATAGATTTTAAGCCCCAACCTATCCTCTGCCACTTTAGATGTGATTTCTTTCAGGAGGAGTGAACTGTGAGCTGACTTCATTAGCTGAAGGAAATGGCCTATCCTTCTCTTTGTTAATGATTCATCTGCAGAAAGAGGTTCAGAAGCCAGCAGCATTGTCTAGCGAAATCATTCAGCAGTCAGGATATTTTGGAAAAAGTCCTTAAAATCGGCGAATAGCTGCAGATTGACTGTTTCACATGTCTTTAAGTAATACTCGGGAATTTGGGAGGTAAGTTTTATTTGAGTTTATTTGCCATATTTTTGTTGTTTTAAATGGATGTTTAAAAAGCAGGACATTGTTTTAACCAATAGACCCATAACTACTTTCTAATTTAGGTTTTTAATCATTTGAAACCAGTAATAAAACCATGGTTACTGGCTTTATTGATTTTAAAACACTTTTGAATCGATTTTTAATCACAGTTTAGTTAAAACTGTTCTTTGAATTAACTGAGTTACTTTCTGTTTTTTTAAGATTTGCCTGCAAGATGTAATAAATCCTAATTGTAGAAAATTGATGTGTTTTTTTTGTTTCTCCTTAGTGCAATAAAAATTCTTCTTCTTCTCCGTAATGTGGCAAACAATGGCTCCTAGGGGTTGTAGTTGCTTCATTATCACGGCTCTGCCCCAGCATTTTTCCAGCAGTATTAACCAGCTGCAGCAGGGCCGCTATGGCTTTTCTCCATGGTGACTGGGTTCACTGGCCATAGCATTTGCAGGAAGGTCATTAGAGTGTGACTTCTCTCTTGGCTCATGTATATCCTGTGCTTGTTTCAGTTCATCTAGGATATTTCAAGAACACTATGACACTGTTAGTGAGGTGTGAAATGTTTAAATTTATCTCTTCTTAGAATTACAACTAAAGAAGTCAGCTCATTAAGGAAAATCCTAACTCTTAGAAAACTTCTGTATCTGAGTGGTCTGGCTCAAGCAAGAAATATAGCCTTAGGCCATGATGGCTCATTACAATATTTTGTCCCTGCTTAAGCTGGAAAATAAACTCAATAATTGGAGTTAAGTCAGTATTACACACTCGGCATATTCCTGTGTTTTTCTAAATTAAAAACGGAAAACTCTAACGATTTCACCAGTGGTACTTATTTCTAACCAATGAGTTGTTCATCTCTGTGTTTCAAACAGGTAGACCTTCATCAGCATAAACATGAATAACACAAAACAACCCAGCAGGCAGATTGATGGGAGAAGTTAATATTGAAATTTTCTTCACCCTGGGAAGTCACAGAAAACAATCGTATCTAATCAAAGACAAAAAAAGATGAGACTGCTTCTGTATTATTTGACACTGCTGGGGTCCAGTTATGTGATTTCAACGTACGGACCCCACCAGAGAGCACAGATGACTGGTGATATTTTACTTGGAGGTCTTTTCCCCTTACACTTCGGCATTGCATCCAAAGATCAAGACCTTGCAGCCCGGCCAGAATCCACTCAGTGTGTCAGGTAATTTGTGCTCTGAGGTAACAAAAAACCCTTTTGCAAACCAAGTGTGTCATACTCATGCCTTTTTTCTTTGCACAGGTTCAATTTCCGTGGTTTTCGTTGGCTCCAAGCCATGATTTTCGCGATTGAAGAGATTAACAACAGCAGTACGCTCCTTCCCAACATCACGCTGGGCTACAGGATTTTTGACACTTGCAACACTGTGTCAAAAGCCTTGGAAGCCACCCTAAGTTTTGTGGCCCAAAATAAGATCGACTCTTTAAATTTAGATGAGTTTTGCAACTGTACTGATCACATACCATCAACCATTGCAGTAGTAGGAGCTGCTGGATCTGCTGTCTCCACAGCAGTTGCAAACTTGCTGGGTCTATTTTATATCCCTCAGGTGAGTTGCTGGGTAATAGCTATGTCAACAACACATCATTATTTCATTATCTACATCCATAAAAATTAAGTCTACATATAATGATTTTCGTGTTTGTTCAATAAATGATTTGAAAGTGGTTAAAGATAATTAAGACGATGCAATGAAAACCTGATAGATTAACTGAGCAATTTCCTGTTTCAGATCAGTTATGCCTCGTCTAGCCGCCTACTGAGCAACAAGAATCAGTACAAGTCCTTCATGAGAACCATTCCTACAGATGAGTACCAGGCCACAGCCATGGCAGACATTATTGAGTACTTTCAGTGGAACTGGGTCATTGCTGTGGCCTCCGATGATGAGTATGGGCGTCCAGGGATTGAAAAGTTTGAGAAGGAGATGGAAGAGCGAGACATCTGCATTCATCTAAATGAACTTATTTCTCAGTATTTTGAGGATCACGAAATCAAAGCACTGGCTGACAGGATTGAAAATTCCACAGCTAAAGTAATCGTTGTGTTCGCCAGTGGCCCAGATGTCGAACCTCTAATCAAAGAGATGGTTAGGAGAAACATCACAGATCGGATCTGGTTAGCCAGTGAAGCTTGGGCAATCTCCTCCCTTGTTGCTAAACCAGAATATCTTGATGTTATGGCAGGGACTATTGGTTTTGCTCTAAAGGCAGGTCGTATACCTGGCTTTAGAGAGTTCTTACGGCACGTCCAACCAAAGAAAGACAGTCATAATGAATTTGTCAGAGAGTTTTGGGAAGAAACTTTCAACTGCTATCTAGAAGATAGCCCGAGATTCCAAGAAAGTGAGAATGGCAGCACTAGTTTCAGGCCTTTGTGTAGTGGTGAGGAGGACATCGCAAGTGTTGAAACACCATACCTGGACTACAAACACCTTCGTATCTCCTATAACGTTTATGTTGCAGTTTATTCCATAGCACAGGCGCTACAGGACATACTCACATGCACACCTGGACGTGGACTTTTTGCAAACAATTCCTGCGCAGATATAAAAAAAATGGAAGCATGGCAGGTACAATGTATTTAATTTATGTTTAATAAAAGGAGTTAAATATTAGATATGCCAATGTGTGAATGATGAAAGCATGTTCTTCTATTTCTCAGGTCCTTAAGCAGCTTAGGCATTTGAACTACACCAACAGCATGGGAGAAAAGATGCGCTTTGACGAGAACTCAGATATGGAAGCAAATTACACCATTATAAACTGGCACAGGTCTACTGAAGATGGCTCTGTGGTTTTTGAGGAGGTTGGATATTACAACATGCATGCCAAGAGAGGAGCCAAGCTGTTCATTGACAGGACAAAGATTCTTTGGAATGGCTATAGCACAGAGGTCAGTGAAACTCTTTTGTATATCCATTAAAACAGTGTTATTTCTTGTCATTGAGGAAAAACAAGGGAACGCGTCTCTGACTTATCAGTGTCTCAGCTGATAAATGGTACTTTTTAAGGTGAAACAGCTGTCCATCGGAGCAATAAGAGTGAACCAAAACTAAAGTTGTGATTTTATGTGAAGCTAAATACAGATGTCACCTCTGTGGTTGTGGATTACCATTTTTCAGCTCCGAGTTTTGCATTTTAGCCCTTGCCATCTGGGAAGTAGTCCCCCTGTTGGCCTCCTTTCTCTCCACCACTGGAAATGCAGTGGATGGCCCACCTTACAGGGCCAGTATTTGTTACCTTTCCACATTGTATAAAATGAACATCACACTATATTTAACCCATTAGGACAGAGTAAACACTGAGACTCACATGTATGGTATAGTTTCCACATCCATAAGTCAGGTGGTGTCTGCTTCAGTCTCTGTTATGTAAGATGGTGTGTGTGAAGTCCCATGCCTTCCGCTTCTGTAACGTAGACTTCTTTTTAAATTAGTACTGGGGGATTTCTTTATTTCTATTTTACATTTGAATGCCCATCTAAATCAACCCCTCTCATTAACCTTCCTGTTATTTTATCTTCTAAAGGTGCCATTCTCTAACTGCAGCGAGGACTGTGAACCTGGCACAAGAAAGGGGATCATAGACAGCATGCCTACTTGCTGCTTTGAATGCACAGAGTGTTCTGATGGTGAATACAGTAATCATAAAGGTATGTAGGTAGATGCAAAACACTCTCTGCTAATGTTAGACTTGATGAATAATAGAGTTTTAACACAGTTTCTCTTATACAGATGCCAGTGTTTGTGCCAAGTGTCCAAATAACTCCTGGTCAAACGGGAACCACACATTCTGTTTCCTCAAGGAAGTCGAGTTTCTCTCCTGGACAGAACCATTTGGGATAGCTCTGGCTATATGTGCAGTACTGGGTGTTGTCTTGACAGCCTTTGTGATTGGAGTCTTTGTCAGATTTCGCAACACCCCAATTGTGAAGGCCACAAACCGAGAACTATCATATGTGCTCCTTTTCTCACTTATCTGTTGCTTCTCCAGCTCTCTCATCTTTATTGGAGAGCCACAAGACTGGACATGCCGTTTACGCCAACCCACCTTTGGGGTCAGTTTTGTTCTCTGCATCTCCTGCATCCTTGTCAAAACTAACAGAGTCCTTTTGGTATTTGAGGCCAAGATTCCTACGAGTCTCCATCGTAAATGGTGGGGATTGAATCTGCAGTTTCTCCTGGTGTTTCTGTGCACATTTGTCCAAGTCATGATATGTGTGGTCTGGCTTTACAACGCCCCTCCTTCTAGTTACCAAAATCATGACATCGATGAGATCATTTTTATCACATGCAATGAGGGCTCTGTGATGGCTCTTGGGTTTTTAATTGGCTACACGTGCATATTGGCAGCCATATGTTTCTTCTTTGCATTTAAGTCACGGAAACTTCCAGAAAACTTTACAGAGGCCAAGTTCATTACTTTTAGCATGCTCATATTCTTTATTGTTTGGATCTCTTTTATTCCTGCATACTTCAGTACTTACGGCAAGTTTGTTTCAGCTGTGGAGGTCATTGCTATCCTGGCATCTAGCTTTGGGATGCTAGCCTGTATCTTCTTCAACAAGGTCTACATCATCCTCTTCAAACCCTCCAGGAACACGATTGAGGAAGTCAGATGCAGCACTGCAGCCCATGCTTTCAAAGTGGCTGCCAAAGCTACATTAAAACACAGCACAACTTCAAGAAAAAAGTCCGGCAGCCTCGGTGGGTCTTCTGCCTCAACTCCTTCCTCATCCATCAGCGTCAAGACCAATGGCAATGACTACGACACTGCCTCAGGAAAGCACAGGCCAAGGGTGAGCTTTGGGAGTGGAACAGTTACTTTGTCCTTGAGTTTCGAGGAGTCCAGGAGGAGTTCTCTGATGTGATTGCTAGGTGTTGATGTGTCACCTTCACTGATCCAAATTAAGTAGGAGTGTATTTTTTTAGACTTTGTTTTGGAATTTATTTTAATGTAGATTTTTTTCTTTAAATTTTTTCCCTCTCCATATTTTATCAGAATGATCAGTCGAAACAATATACTGTCTATGAATTCTGTTACTTTTAGTATTTCTGATTAATGTTAACTCTGCTAATATGGTAAAACACAGCAATACAAGCAAAATTTCCAATTGTTGCCTGTTCTTTAAAGGATTATCCACTTTCTAAAAGGCGTTCGCACTGTTTTGTGGCACAATGTTCCCTCCTCTGATAAATATCCTCCTATATTCCCTCTATTGTATTTTGTTATGACACTATGAGCTTGTAAAATACAAACTAACTACCTATAATGTGATGTATATAATAAAAATGAACCAAGATGCAAGTAAAAATTACCTAAATTATCTTGGAAATAGATCTTATTACTAGAAAATCTGGTGAACACACTGACTAAAGGGGATTCTGGTCTTTCTAAGAACTTGCTCTGCTTGTGGTTTGCTTATCACAAGTATCTGACAACTGCAAACAGTGCAGGCCTGTCTCGCATGTTAATGTCATTCGTGCAGTAATCCTGCCCTGCAGTCATTTCTTTACAATGGTGGTAGGAGGAGTAGCCATCTGCTTGCCAAATGTAAAATCTGTAACTTTTCTAAACTCTATGGTACGTGTTTATTTCAGGGCTGCAGAGATAATTTTACATATAAAGCTGTTTAACAAATCACTGAACGTTTATTGAACAGACGATACAGTACACCCATAAATGTACATGTTCGTGGGTGTACTGAGCACAAATAAAAGTATAATAGTGGCTATGTGGAATCTGCTCTCAAAAACATCCCATCATTTGTTACCAGAATATTGTGAAAGAGCACCTTGTACCTTTACAAAGCTAATGATATTTTTTGTGAACTTTCTACTTTAAATTAAGGTTTAACTCCTTAAGAATGATAAAGGATAGAGAACTGAGTATTAACATGTATATGAAATTATCAACACAAAAGTGAAATACAATAGAGAAGGTATCATAATGTAAGGCTTCTTTGATGGTGCAGAATCTCCTGAAACTCAATACAACAAATTACATTTACAACCCTTAAAAGAAATGAATACAGGGAGACATTAAAAAAGGACAAATCCAGTTTTTCAGAGTACCCCACATTTAATCAAAATTATTACTTTGGAATGACCTCAACTGGTCAGTAAATGACAAACCACAATATAGTTGAGTTTCAGCAGTTCAATCTGAATATATAGTCAAAAATGTCTCTTGTCAGTTCATCAAGTCTGAGCTACACCAGAAGGAAGTGCATGTTTCAAATGAATACTGTTAATGGATGTTTGGCCAGTTATGAAATGAAATTGTTTCTTTAATTCTCCTGTTGTGAATGTTTAATGTGTGTATTTAATAAAGGCAGAGATAGCCACGATGGTTTACATATTATTAGTGTCAGTACACTGACGTTGTCTATTTTTCTGACTTAGATGAAAGTCCAGTCATATTTTATGACTAATTAAAACAGAAATTATATAGCCCACACTGTGTGAACATGAAAGCCAAGACTTGGAAAATTTATAGCTCAACACCACCATCTAGGAACGCAGCCAAGGAAATATTCCTCTGAAAAGTAGTGACATCTATTGTTTCAGTGCCCTCTACAACTGAAGTCAAAACCACAACCCCACATCCAAGTCTCAAAATATAATAAAATCCCACGAGCTATGTAATAGCATATTAATATAATATAATACATGTACACTATGTTACAAAAATAAGGTAAAAGGGCATCTCACAAGCACCAGACCTCCCACATGTCTCAATAAGAGGTCAGCGTGCTCAGTTATTCAGGACCACACTCGACCTGAAACTGACTGAGGTGCAGCTGGACAACCAACTCCTCTGTTGACAGGAAGAAACGAGCTTTATCTGTAGAGGCTCAAATATAGCTCTGCAGCACAACCAGCATGTTGCTGACATCTGAACTCTAGGGTGGGATGAACCATAGACTGAGCAAAATAACCAGGAAGCATTGCATGCTGTGCACATCTGTCAAAGCTTGCCCTAGCTGAAAAAGGAGAGGGTTTTGTCAAAGTACTGTAATTATTCAAATGGAAAACACTGGCACACCTGCAAGTGGAAATAGGAAATTTGATTGAATTTTAACTACAGTGGAGTAGAAACTTACCCTTTCACAAAGTTTATTTAAGCTAAATCTTTCATATTTTACTCACATAAAAATCTCACAAAATTAAACGTGGAAAGAGAAAAGACTGGAAAGCAAACTTTCAAAGGCTGTAGTGCTGTTGCATTTAGCTTTTCTACAAGCTGTTTACTTATGACTCTCCATCAATGCTCAGAATTAGCAAAAACAACAACAACAACAACAAATAAAAACAAATTAAAAACCCAGTGTACAAAATCCAAATTCAAATAAATAAACAAGTCCATATTATAGTCAATTTATACCAATTTGCATAGGTAGAATAGACACAAATTAAGCTAAAGTCATTTATAAGACATCTTAAGTGGGAATAAAGATAAGATAAGATAAAACCTTTTAATCTTGTTAGAGATTCTTCTGCTTTTTTTTTTTTAGAAATATGAGCAGAATCAGAAGCACTGTGTGTAGAGCAATGACTGCATAGTAGTGAAAATTTATATACTAACGTAACAACAGTTAAAAATGTATCCGTGAGTTTTGTCCTCCAGTAGTTTTTGGTGTCATCAACAGATCGCAAACTTCAATTTTGAAATTTTCACACCGGAAGTATTTATGTGACGCACATCATCATCATCAACTCGCAGACTTTCTGCCTCAACAGAAAAACGGCGTTTATGAGGCATAAGCAAATAATATAAAAAGCAGAAATTAAAGAAGATTTACTCATAATAAATAATATAACCGTTAACCCCCCGCCCCCCGAGATCTCTTCAAGGTCTTAAAGGTAAAACTTTATTATGAAATGCGTGGAACGGAAGTCCTTACTAATTTACGTTTACTTGACTGGTGGGCTTGTAGACGGGCTAATTACAGCGATGTTGTAGTCTATGAAAGGCTACTTAAGTATCAGGTAAGGAAATTGGTGTTTTGCGCTAAATTGAAATAAGGCCAGACTGTACTCGGCTTCCAAGACACGTGTCTCTTTTAATGCTAATGTTTTATTTTTAATAGCCGTTATATCCGCATTCGTCAGCTAGCTAGCAGGTAAGCTATAACTACAGGTAGCGTTTATGTGAGGGCATCAACGTGTAAGTTGTGAGCTTCTGCAATCATAAAAAGGACTGCAGTCAAAAGAGAGAGGAGCTGGCACAAGTATAAGGAAAACAAAAAGGTACTGTTTCGTTGATCTGCACCTCGTGTTATGGACGAACTAGTCGACGTTAGCTTGACTGTGTTCTCAAAATTAACTCAGAGAAATCTTACTAAAAATGGCAGAACATTAATATTTAAATTATAAAACGCTTTCCTGCTAACGATCCTGCTAGCATCCCAAGAGAGGACAACCATGCTAGCAATAGCATAATGGCTTTCATGTGTTTTGTGTGTCGCTGGTTGTGAGTTAAAAATTATCATAATAATGTTAACGGAAAAAGAGTTAGCGTTAATTGTTATGTCAGCTGATGGCATCTGTGTTTGATTTAATGGAGAGAGTGTATTATTATAGTAGTATGTCAATGAAACTGGAGTGTTACTCTGTTTTACATGTTTTTGGTTTAAATAGGAGACCTAGAAAAAAAAAGCCCATTCATTAATCTCCTCTGTAATGGACATTTGTTTTTGGTCTATGTCTTTTGACTTATTTGAGCTACCCTACTAAATCCTGATGTACTCAATGGAGGCCATCCAGGGCTTTCAATTGGTCTCTCGTGTGTTTGGCTGGGCTCTTTTAGTTCGAAAGAGGAAGGAAATCACAAAAAAGGTTCAGCTTTTTCCCCCCTCGGTTCTCAGGAGGATCTAAAGAAAATTACTACTATTAACAAGCAGTCCACAGTTTTGATCAACTTATCAGCTGTTTCTATATCTTTGGGCATTTTCTGTTTTTGAAACGGGATAGTTTGTTTTATTATGCAGTCATTTTCTGTAATGAATACTTTACCAGCGAAACTACCATCTGAGCAATAATCTGCTCAAGTGGTAGTACAGGTTCAGAAAGTACACGTATCAGTTCAAGTAACACGGTAAACTGGTTCCTTAATGTGGCTTTCCCTGCTAATGTGTCACATATTGTTAGCTAAAACCTGCCCTCAAAATGTGTTGCATGTTTCCAAGCAAAAACGCACCCTTTTTTGGTTCTAACATTTTTATTTTCTGTTCATCTATTCCCAGTTGGTGGAGTGCCCAAGCTTATGGCCCCCCGTCTAAAAGTGGAGTTTTCTGATTCACCAATGGAATTTCACAAATAAGTGCTTGCTCTATATATAGTGATAGTGATAATTACTTTCTATATAGTCAAGGAGCATGTCTCATCAGCATGGGATGACTGGTCAGCGACTCTATGGCTGTCACTGTTTTTGCTGAAACGTTCTTTGTGAAAGAAGTAGCGTAAACTATAGCTTACAGAATCTACATTCACTTTTTCTGCCTTCACATCAGCAAAGTCACATAGCCATGGGCTATTGTTCAAGTTCGAGGAAGATTTCACGCAAGAGCAAGTACGTCATACTGCTGATTCTTGTGCTGTCAGTACTGGCATGGATAGCAATATTTTCAAGAGAGATGGTGAAACC